ATCAAATTTAAACAAAAAACATTGGATGAATCGAGAAAAGTGCCCACTGATGATTGATCTTCTCACCTGATAGGATTAGCGAATGAGAGATCAAAATTTTAATCGATGAAGAGTAGGAGAATAAAAATCTTATGACGATTGGCAAAAACAAAAAGAGTTAACGCCCCGAGCTCATAGTATATAAAATACTGGAACACACTGGAGCGCAAGATCATTCAATTAAAAAGTTCACCTCGAGTCGGTTCGCATCGCAAGTTCAATTTGTTCGTCAGACTCAATAGATCCAGTAAAATCAGGGTTGGTTATACGAAAAAGATACGCACTCCTTCCAGTTCGGAATTCGGTCGTGAGAATTCGATCTTTTCATCCGTTGATGTACGGACTCAAGCGGTTCTCAACATCGTGGTGTCTGCACGCATATGAACGCGAATGAACATTGTAATTAGCGCCGAGCTCCATCGTAAGAGACAACCAACTCATCTCTCCTGAGTCCAGCCGACTGACTCTTGGCCGAGCCATACTGACTCATTATGTCAACATACTACAGGCAACAGCAATAAGTGAGTGCTAATTGAGATAATATTACGAAGAGAAATCCAAGGGTTTTCACACATTTTTTTATTTTCTTTCAAGCGGTTGATATTCGAAGGAAGAGTAAGTTTAATAATTTAACTAATAACCGCAGTCTTGCTCTGTAATGTTCTGGCCGGACTAGCGCTTCACGGCATCAAGCCGTTCTGAATCACTGCCAGTTTCCTGTCGATCGGATTAACAATTCGCGACGTTCAGTCGTTCTGAACCGCTGCCAATTTCCTTCTTTTGGAGGATGCCCTTTGTAACTTGCGTTGTTTCGAACAGCTGCCGATTCATTTAGATCGTACAAGTCTTTCACAACTGCGAGTAGTTAGAACGGCTCCACTAGCCCTTCGTGACTTGATATGTTTAGAATGGCTAGCGATTCCGTTAAACCAGACAAGTCTTTCACAACTGCAAGTCGGTAGAACTGTTGTCCACATCCTATCAATTTAAAATTCACCTATGTTAGTTGATTCACGCCACTCCAAAAATTACTCGTTAAATTATTTAATTAGAAAATTGCTTTATAAAAATCTTCGGTAATTATGCAGTTATACGGACTATTTTCCGATCTCAACAATTTTGACATATGTTATCAAGGTCACCTCCCTGAATAATAATATGAAGGTTTTATCCGTCGCTCATTGTTTATAAAAAACTTATGAACAAAAAAAGTTTCATGAATAAAC